CCATAGGGAGCTCCACCGAAGGCCCCAGTGGAAGGGTTCGCATGGCGGCCCCGCGCCATTTTGGCGCACCCGTCACACGGTTCGTGGTCCCATAGACGGCTCCACCGAAGGCCCCATTGGCAGGGTTCGCATGGTGGCCCCGCTTCATCTTGGCGCACCCCTCACACGGTTCGTGGCCCCATGGACGGCTCCACGGAAGGCCCCAGAGGCAGGGTTCGCATGGCGGCCCCGCGCCATTTTGGCGCACCCCTCACACGGTTCGTGGCCCCATAGGGAGCTCCACCGAAGGCCCCAGTGGCAGGGCTCGCATGGCGGCCCCGCCCCATTTTGGCGCGCCCCTCACACGGTTCGTGGCCCCATAGGGAGCTCCACCGAAGGCCCCAGTGGCAGGGTTCGCATATGTTCGTATGGCGGCCCCGCGCCATTTTGGCGCAGCCCCTCACACGGTTCGTGGCCCCATAGGAAAATCCCCTTGCTTCGTCCCACCTGCCTTGCGGTTCTCACACTTGCGTATGGTTGGGTCTTTCGCCGGGATAATTTGGAGTACCATGAAGCACATCACTGCAGGGTGCCGAAGGAAACAACAAAAGATCGTCAAGAAGCCGTCCAGGTGTGCTCCTCGTTGGCCATACCTGTGACCGTGACTTCCAGTATGCTCTACCTCACACACTCCGAGGGGGAACCTTGGGCTACTTCAAAAGGGTACCCGAGTACAGACGTGGCAATACATGGAACGTCTCGCGGTACGACCAAGAAGTGAGCCGAGTGAGAGAGGGGAGCACGGAATTCAAACTGTGGGTGCAGCAGCCCCCGCCGCAACAGTTTGGGGTCTCGGGCCTTCCGCCTCTCCCCCCTCTCCTTCTTGGTCGCGTCGTCGTCTCCTCCCCCCCCTTGGCTTGGGCGCGCTCGGGCGCCCTGCTAAGCCCGCGCGTCCCCTCCCCTTGGGCACGCGGAAGGGCCAGCAGCCGCTCCCCCCGCACCGACCCGAAGGGGCTCGTGACGTAAGGCAGCGAGCGTCTCTTACGGGGCCACCTCGGAGCTCGGTCCTTGAGCTACGGGGTATGCCCCCTGCCGGCCCTAGTGAGAAGGCAGGGCTGTAGCACAACAAATCGCAGGGGGTTTTGGCAGTAGAGTCGGTCGCCTGAGTAGGTGCTCTGACGTTATACCCCCTTATGCGGATGTCCTTGTAATTGTCTGCCTCCTCCTCCTCCTCCTCCTCCTCCTCCTCCTCCTCCTCCTCCTCCTCCTCCTCCTCCTCCTCCTCCCTCCTCTTTGCCACAGGGCGCTCTGCGGATGGTCAAAACGTGCAGTCGGCTTACTCTCTCCTGCTCCCGCGCTTGCGCCCCTCCCCCCCACGCCTCTCCCCGAGCGCCCAGACTGGCCGGCCTTTCGGGCTGTGCCCGACGCGAAGGCAAATACCTCCAGCCGCCCCCAAAAAAAACCTTCGACGCCGACGCCGACACCGACGCCGACGCCGACGCCGACGACGACGACGGCGGCGACGACGACGACGACGCCGACGACGACGACGACGACGACGACGCCGACGCCGACGACAACGACGACGCCGACGGCGACGGCGACGCCGACGGCGACGGCGACGACGGCGACGGCGACGACGGCGACGGCGACGACGGCGACGACGACGACGACGACGACGTCGACGGCGCAGCTTTTCCTGAGCAGCCCGCGGGCCCGTCGGCCAGTCGCGGCCACGGGGCACCGCGCCGGCCCCGCGCGCGTGCCCGGGGTGGCCGCCAGCTTCGTGGCGTTGGCGTCTGGGCGGAGGGTCGTCGTCGTCGTCGTCGTCGTCGTCGTCGTCGTGGTCGTCGTCGTCGTCGTCGTCGTCGTCGTCGTCCTCGCCGTCGTCGTCGTCGTCGTCCTCGCCGTCGTCGTCGTCGTCCTCGCCGTCGTCGTCGTCGTTGCCGTCGTCGTCGTCGTCGTCGTCGTCGTCGTCGTCGTCGTCGTCGTCGTCGTCGTCAGCGTCGAAGGCTTTTTTGTGGGGAGCAGCCGTCGCGGGCGGGCGCAGCCCGAGAGGCCGGCCAGGCTGGGCGCCTCGGGGAGGTGCCGCGGCTCCTCCGGGGTGCCGTCGTATGGTCCGCTGCGCGCGGGCCAGCAATCCTGGCTACAAAAAATATATGTAACACATTCTGCCTCCCCATCTGGAGCATGCACGGGCGCCCCGCGACCACTTGCATGGTTTTCGACAGGGACGGCGGGGGTGCCGCCATACTGCTTGCGCGCGAAAGTCAATCCCGGACACAGCAGATCTATATATATATATATACACACGCATATGTATAAACATATTGTTTACACCACGACCAGAGCAACTGTAATCATATGAAAATGCTACCTTGGAAGCATCGCCTGTCAAAGACTGGGGCCGAACAGGTCAGACAAATTGAACTGTACTTACTGCGGGGGCCCACACCCCCAGTTGGAAGTGGAGTAGGAGAGGAGGCAAGTGGACCCTGGAAAAACTTGAGCCGTAAGTTTACGGATCAGAGCAGGTCGTCTAAACAGTGTCTCAAGCGAACCATTTCAGACGTGAAACGGCCCAGGCTCCAGGAGTACCCCATTCTTCAAGCACTCCTGTACACCACGACTAGAGCAACTGGAATCATATGAAGATGCTACCTTGGAAGCATCGCCTGTCAAAGACTGGGGCCGAGCAGATCAGACAAGTTGAACTGCATTTATTGCGAAGGCCCACGCCCCGTCCCTAGCACCAGAAGGCTGTTCTAATTGGATTGAGGAGGGAGGGAGGCGACGACAGAGGAGGAGATAGCTTAACGAAGAGACGCGGGATAGGGTTCCGCCCGCCGGGTCCAGAATACGCTGGAAGCATCTTTGCCTTCCGGGGCCTGGTGGCGACGGCCGGTACGCCGACGCACTCTCCCAGTGCGTCGGCGCTCCCACGATTCTATTCCTCGGGGTGTGCCGAGGAAACGGGTGCACTTTCTCCAAGGAATTCCATACATGCAATAGTGCAGAATGACAGAAGACGCACTCTTCTCAAATTTCGGATCTCTCTCAGCAGCCAAAGACGTGACGCATGAAGATTGATTACCCAAGGGACTCCGTGCTTGTTACATTCACGTGCAAAACTATCAACAATGCGCACAAGTCTGTTGGCGGCTTCTACTCGTGATCTCTGCTTAATGTCAAGCTCTGGGAGCCCGTGCAGGTGATTGTTGGAGCGGAGGGGGCGCGGGCCGATCGGCACATCTGTGGCGCGAGAGAGGAAGCGTTACAAGGAATTCCGAACCAAACGAACAAGAAGCAGCCAGCACGGATCCTATCTCGAAAAGTTCTCACCACATCAGGCCTGAGGAAGTCGCCATCAGGCCCATCGACGACGTCGTAGGCGTCGGCGGGAATGCCGGCCCTCGCCAAACCTCGAGCCAGCTGCTCGGAGCCCGAGAAGACCTCGGCGGCCCGCCTTCGCCCCGCGAGTTGAGCGGCCGCGGCTGCCGGCACGGCCGACCAAGGAGCGCGTCATCGATTGAGGATCTGGCAGCCTTGGCAAAGTCGAGGAGCTCCTTGGGACTGCTTGCCAGCGCCTTCTGCATCGCACCGTGCCTCTCGCACCTCTTCACGGACGAGAGGGTGGCCCACCTGCCGCGCTTCATGACGTCGGGAAGTGTGCGCCGAGCAAGCAGCGCATCTCGGCTTGGCCCGCTGCGGCGAAGCGGGTAGCTCGTGAGGTTCCGCTTCTCGAGCCCGAGGTCCAGGCAGGCCTGGTCGAACTCCTTCCTGAAGACCCCAGTCTTCTGCTTAAAGAGCGGCTCGTGCGGGGCGCGCTGGGTCATCAGAAGCTGCAGCGTCTCTATGGTCGGGAATCCCCAGTCCGCCAGAAGGACGCGCTCGTGCCCGAGGTGGTCGCTCACTGGCGGCGCGAAGCCCTCGGCCCAGTGCCGCGTCGCCTCGCCAGCGCGCAGGTGCGCGTCGTGCATCGCCACCGCCCTGCGAGCACTCTCGCGGCGCCCGCGCCAGAGCAGCGCGCCCGCGACCGGAATCGCCCACGCGCGCGGCAGCCCGAAGCGGCAGGCCGCTGGAGCGGCGTTGCGGAGCCCGCGGAGGGCGCGGGCCGCGCGGGGCAGCCCGCCCTGCGCTGCCTTGGAAAAGCGGAGGGTGCCAAGCTCCACTGCGGCGAGGAGCTTCTCGCCCTGGTCGACCTGCCACCCATCCAAGTACAGGAGGTCCATCTGCTGCACCAGCGCCTCGCCCACGTCCTCGCCCCGGTTGAAGTCGAAGCCGTGGTCGACCACGAAGTCCAATAACTCCCCGTACTTCTGGAGGTAGCACGGGATCGACTGCTTCCCGATTGACTTCATCTCGAGGAGACTCACCGCGATCCCATTCAGCTCGAGCCTTTCCTGGAGCTCGCGGTCCCGCGCCTTGGCAGCTGCCTGGCGGGGCCGCGCCTGGACCGCGCGCGCGGGGGCCAGCAGCTCCCGGTTCCAGTCAGCGTTGGCGGGCAGCGTCGCCGCCGGCGTCGGCGCCCTCAAGCCCGGGCGCGACGGCGGCGCAAGGCCCCCGCCGTCCTCTCGGTGGGAGGAGGATGCCTGGCGGCGGGGCGCCTGGAGCACCCGCGCCACCCGCGGCGCCCTGGCTGGGCGGCTGCCGGCGGGCCAAGGCAGAGGACCAGCAGATGCCTCGCCATGGCTGCGCCTGGCCTGGCTCGGGGGAGGCGGCCCATCCGCCGGGAGCCCCGCGCCGCGTGGCGGCGCTCGCACCCCCGCGTTTCTTGAGGCGCGCGAGGTCACGTTCGCGGCGGCGGCGGGCGCCGGCGAGATCACGACGCAATGCGGCGTCGGCAACATTGATCTCTGAGGGAATCCACCGCCATCGGATCGTCATATACATGAAGACCGTGAGGGCTGCATGTTTCCGGCATAGCATCAGCGGGCCGAAGTTGTCAGCTCGGCCCTTGGACATGGCAAGGATATGCGAGGATCACCCCCGAACTGTCGCCCATCACGAGGTGTCGCTTGCTACGGTTGGGCAGCGTCTGGCAGGTGCGACGCGCAGAGATCAGCCCCGCGAGGCCCAAGCATCGCGGGGTGCTCCTCGTGCCGCCGGCGGCCTGCGACGCACTCGCGCCACTCGAAGCCCCTGGAGATAGACGGCGGGGCCTCGGGGAAGTCCCGCGCAGGCTGGCGCCGCTTGCGGGTCCAGTCGCGAGGGAGCACGGTCTCGACGTTGGAGAAGCACTCCTCGACAGGCGGAGCCGCCCGAAGGGCGCGCGGCCCCGCTGGCTGCTCGCGCTGGAAGGCGCGCCTCCAGCGCTCGTCTGTCTTGCCCATCTCCGCGACCACCTCCTCGGGCAGCGACGCGGAGAGGATCCCGCACCCTGCCGTGCTGGAGTCGAAGACCTCCGCCTCGGGCGACCAGGGCCGCCTCGCGCTGGCCCTCGCAAGCGGCAGCGCGGCAGCCGCCGCGCGGAGCTCCTCGGCGGCGGAGCGCCAGAGCCACCGCGGCCGGAGGTAGTGGCACTGCATGATAGTGCAGCAGCTGCGGAAGGCGGCGCAGCCGGCGGCAGACCTGGCGGAGGCGCCAGGCCTTGACTGGGCTCGGGCGGCGCCCCCCCGTCAAGCCGTCGATGGCGAGCCCCAGTGATTCCAACCAGCGCCGAGCGGCCTCCTCCTCCTCGTGGACCTCAAAAGCGAGCGAAATCATCCTCCGCTCGCTGTCCTCGCGGAGGGCGTCGGCCCGGGCCTTGGCGGGCGCGGCCGCCGCGAAGTTGTCGCGGCGCGGCGGCGCCAACTCGGGGCCCGCCCGGAACGGCGGCGGCGGCGCGCGGCCCTGCATGACCGCACCCGGCGGCCAGTCCCTGATCTGGCTGACCTCGCGCGCGTGCAGGACCTGCGCGAAGAAGGAGCTCCGCGCCCAGCCCATCGGCATCGCCATCGTCGGGGGGGCGATGGAGTCGACGTCCCGAAGGTAGCCGAAAAAGGGGTCGCCGTCGGCGATCGACTTGAGCTCGCCGCCAGTGATGTCCAACAGGCAGGAGAAACTCCCGAGCCAAGGTGCCAGCTCGCATGCATAAAAATAATCCTTCGCGTCACTTCGAGAGAGGCACATGCCGGTGCCCGTGCCCATCGCGTCGTCGGCCCAGGGCCCCCCCGAGCCCATCGGCGCGCGTGGACACTCTCGGAAGCGGGCGTTGACGCGCCTGCAGTCAACCACGAGGCGCTGATTGCCCGACTTCTTTTGCGCGAAAAATACAGAGGCCCCGCCTCGAACTTGGTCGGCACGCCGCCGGGGGAGTAGCCCACCTCTGAACAGATCTCCGAATAAGTTGACATTGCTGCGACGGCAGAAGCGGGGCCGCGGGGCCATGTTTGGTCCCAGTGCGCTTGAGACCTCGCCCCGCCTCCGCCCCCCGCTGGTTGTCGTCCTTGGGCAGGTTGGTGTCGAAATCTACGATCATCTTTGCGGCATCCAGCGGCGGCCTTTTGGACAGCGGGGCGGGAATTCGCCCGTCGCCGGGGATCGACGCCAGGGCGCGGTCGTAGGGGACCACTGTCAAGTCATCGCCCCCCGCGTAGGGGACTCTGCCCCCGAGGAGCGCACGCGCGGCTTCCTCGTCTGAAGCCGCCTCCGGCGGTGGCTGAAAAAGGCTGATGGCGCCATGCAGATGGTCGACCGTAGCCCGCTGGCCCAACGTCAAAAACTTGGCGTTGGCGGCGGAAGACCCCGCGAACCACTCGAGGGCCAGATGCCCTCGCACCCCTCGTCGGCGAGCTGCCGCCGAGCCTGAATGCGACAACGGGCCCCGCGAGAGAGATGGGCGCCGGCCGCAGGTTCCCGAAGCGCATATGGAAGAGGAAGAAGCCCTCGAGGGACATCGCGCTCTTCGGCCACGACGCCAGCGAGGAAACCCAGCTGAGAGGCCCGGAATGCCCTCGATCTCGGCCCCCCATTCGGGCAGCGTGTGGGGCCGTCGTCGCTCTTCATCAATGATCCCCGCCCTGGCCCTCCTCCTTGGGGCCCTTGGGCGGTCTCCTCACACGTGACTCGTCTTCGTGCTTCCGCTGCTCTTTTGTGCGCAGAAACCTTGTCGCGAGCCTGCTCCGCCACGTGCTTGACGAGAGTCGGCGCGACCGGCGCCTTCCCCCGCCTGGGCCCCCAACCAATGAAGTCGTCGGCCCCGGCGTAGTCGGGCCCCCCGGGCGAGTTGGGGCGCGCCCGCTCGATCAGCGCGGCGCGCCTCCCAAGGGCCTCCAGCGAGACCAGAGTGGGGGCGTTGAGCTGGTCGATCTCGGCCGCCAGCTCGAGCACCTCCATGATGCAGACGTGCTCGTGGACCGAACGGCCCCCGCCCGCGTTGAGCTGATGGGCCCATTTACAATGACGCTGGAAGGGCCCCCCCTCTCCACAGCGAGCGATCTCCCCCAGATACCATAGCGCCGAAGCCTCGCCCTCGAGCGGTGAGTCCCCGCAGTCGCGATACTGCATCAAATCGACGGCCTCCGCGAAGCGCTGGCGGCGAGCGTTGTTCCGCCACGCCGCCGGGAGGGCCCGCGTGTCGGCGTTGTCGTCGATGGAGTCGGCTGCGACCGCGTAGCGCTGCACTACCCCGCCAAGAGTCTCCACCATCATCGCGTCCGTGCTGGCCCCCTTCACGAGGGTGAAGCTGCGACCGTTGGAGCCAGGCGGATACTCGGCACCCCGCGCGAAGGCTTGGTCAGAGGAGTAGGCGATCCTCCAGACCTTGCCGTCGGCGGCGGCTGGAGGCGCGCGGGCGGCGAGCGAGTTCCCACCCCCTCCTTGCGTTCCTCCTCGTGTGCGAGGGCACGGGCGCGGAGGAAAAGCGGTGCGTCTAGCGGCCCCTCCCCGCGTCCAGCGCGGAAGGCATGCCGGACACCCGCATCGTGCCCTCGCCCGTACATGGCGCTGGTCACGCCCCCCCCCACGCGTGCATCAAGGAAGCGCCGCGCCTGCAGGTCCCACGGCGCGGAGAAATCCTGCGGGCGCACGTCGCCCCCGACCGTCAAAGCACCTGCTCGAAGTCCGGGCACACCTCCGGGCAGCTCGCATTTTCGCGAGGGGCCGGAGCAGGAGCGGCGCAGCTCGGCGCCCGCGAGGCGACGGCTGGGGCACCCAGCCAGACCCGCAGCGGCGATGGCGCCAACCACGCTCCAGTGATGACTGCGAGAAGAAGGCGCTGAGCTCCCTGCAAGGGCATTGGGCCCTGAAAAAACTTGAGCCGTAAGTTTACGGATCCAAGCAGGTCGTCTAAACAGTGTTTCAAGCGAGTCAGTTCAGACGTGACACGGCCCAGGCTCCAAGAGTACCCCATTCTTCAAGCACTATGTTAGGGCTGCCGGGGGTGGCAGAGTCGATCGGGGAGGGGTGGCGGATCTGAGCCCGAGAGGGCTAACACGACTGTGCTAAGCCCCTTTCTGCTATCTCTCTCTCTCTCTCTCTCGGCCATAGTTGCTGTCTCGCTAGCCGACCTCAAAAGCCCGGGCTACGGTCCCTCAACCCCCTCCCCGCGAGCCACCCCCCACGCGATCCCCCACGTCCGATATGATACGATTTGCCTCCACATCTGGAGAATGCGCGGGCGCCCCGCGACCACTCTGCAGTGGCTCTTGACAAGGACGGCGGGGGGGGCGGGCATATGGCTTGACCGTGGAGCGCGTGCCGCACCTGGCGCGCCTGGCTCGCTTGGGCCGCCAGGGCGCCTGGTGCACCTGGAGCCCGTGGCGCACGTGGCACGCGTGGCGCTCCGAGGCAATGTGCCGAAACTCCCTCGGGGGCTACTTGTGTGTTGGGAGGGCGGGTGGGGGTGAGCGAGACGGCTTGCGGGCGAAGGGTTGGCCTCGACCCTCCCCCTGCCCCCTCCCCTGGACCTGGACGGGGCGCCCCGCAACCGAGTGGAGCGTCCAAGAAGGCATCGGCGAGAAGGTCAAAATCATTGATGTTCCGACGGTTTGGGGCGAATTCGGGCGTCACTTCTGTGATCGACCAAGAGGCGCCCAGGAGACCCCAAGATGCCCCCAATAGCTCCCCAAGGGGATCCCAAGAGACCCCCAAGAAACCCTAATAAACTTTCCCGAGGAACCCAAGACGCTCCACTGGGCCCCCGGAACTGCCAGGAGCCCTCCAAGACGCCCCAGAATACTCCAAACAGGTCTCAAGAAACATAAGGAGAGACTCCGAGAGGCATCCAAGGGGCCTCTGGCCTTTCAGCTCACCCTCCTCCTCCTCCTCCTTCTCCTCCTCCTCCTCCTCGTCCTCGTCCTCGTCCTCCTCCTCCTCCTCCTCCTCCTCGTCCTCCTCCTCCTTCTCCTCCTCCTCCTCCTCCTCCTCCTCCTCCTCCTCCTCCTCCTCCTCCTCCTCCTCCTCCTCCTCCTCCTCCTCCTCCTCCTCCTCCTCCTCCTCCTCCTCCTCCTCCTCCTCCTCTTGCTCCGAATACTCTTCCATCCCCTCTTGGGATCTGTCCGTTTCCCCAGCCCTGTATTACACTGCATGTTCCTCCATCGTATCTGGATGGGCTGGTGGGGATACTTTTTCGATCGCGAGCGCACCGGGAGACGCCGGACGCCGTCAAGGCCGCAGCAAGCGGGCTACGAGCGAATTGCGCACCAGGGGAAGGGAGGGAGGCGACGAGAGGACAGCGGGAGGAGGAACAAACAGGAGGCGGGCCTCGCTGCTGCTCAGAAGAGGGCGCCGTCGACTTGGGGGGTCGCCAAAATGGCGGGGAATTCTTGTTGAACGACACCGCGAGCTGGTGGGGTTACGCGAAGCGTCTAGAATATGTGTGCCAGCGCGCACTTGGTGAAATCATCGGAAAACCAGCTGGCTTTCAGACATTGGGCCAGAACCCGCATTATCATCCGCGTTGGTATAGCACGCGCCCAGTGCACGAACCCGTATCAAATAAGACCATTCGGGCCACATGCGTGCGCTGCCACGCGCGCGTGCCGGAATCCGCCCACACAAGTGTCGAAGTATTTCAAAGCAGAGCTCTTGAAACCCAAAT